TGGTAAGATTAATCTCAGATACGCTGTCAATTAGGAATTTGATCTTTTTACCATTTAGTAATCCGTCTATAAAAGGCCTTCCATTGTCATCCAATACAATTGGAGCGACAAATTCTAACGATATCGGGGATGAATGTGGACGTGATTCTATTTTTGGAACTGGTAATAAACCATTTCTGTCAGTGACAGCCCTTCTCACCCTGTTGTCAGAACAGTTGTTTCTAGTCAAAGTATGAATTTGTTTAACTGATAAGGCATAAGGCAATTCAGTTAAATTTTTATCATTACACAACACAGCAGGTTGTACAAAAGCTGCTTTTTCACTTTTTATTTCCATTTTCTTTATTTGTGAGTCAAGTTTAAACTTCCAACAATGGCGTCTGATATGACCTTGTTTATGACAGTGAAAGCATGTGGTATCCTCATTATGACTCGCTTGCTTGCATCTGTCGTTGTCATTCTTACTGGGACCTGTAGTAGTTCCTGGCATAACTGTAGTCTGACTGTTGTTGTCACTTTGAAGCACAGCTACCTCATAAGTGAAATGGTTGTTTTTCAATTTTCTCCGGATTCTATCAATGAAACTTACTATATCATTCAAATTTTGTTTTTCCTCTGCTATGACAATGGTTACTGGGTCTAAATACGTGAATTTCTTTACAAAAGCTTTGATCATAGCTGAGTCTTCCTCATTTTCTACTCCAAATATAATTTTATATGCTTTGGAAAACTTATTTTTAAATTCAAAAGGGTCTTCGTCAGCAGTAGTCTGAAGTAAGTCTAGCATTTCTACAGAAGGTACGTCTTCACCTGTTGAACATAACAGCAATTGTCGCAGTCTGTCTGTCGCGTCATTATGTTTTTTCTGATCTTTATCGTTAACAACAGAATTTTTAATTCGAGACATAAATTTAATTGGTAGCCACATCGGAAATAAATAATTTATGTCATGATTTGAAATCTGATGGCATTTGACATGCATTTCATATATTTCCATGTTGCTGTAGATATCTTTATCTGGATCATAAGCAGGGATGTCTTTTAAAACTTTCATTAATTGATTATGTATTTGCAACTTAAGTTTTGCAGTTTTACATAACAATTCTTTATGTTTAATTTGTGTTTCGTCATCAGAGTCAATATCCGAACTTTCAGAGATATCGGACAGCCGTGGCTCTGATTTTGAATCACTCTGTTTGTCATCTGTGTTTATCATGGCAACCTGTTTACTGTCATTCTGCAGTCTTAACAAAAGATTTGTCTCTGAGTCAATTTGTTCCTCAAGATTCTCTATGTAATTACAAAAAAATGTCACAGTTTGGGCAACTAAGAGCATCTTGAGACAAATTTTCATGCTTTTCTGTATTCTGTACAGTGCTACATTCTGTCTGTTTTAATGTACAAGCTTTTTTAACAGGTAAATCAACATTCAAAATCATTTTGTTGAATATTCTTACTAAATTTAAGATGTTAGATATCTTCTTACGCTGTCTGTGGACAGTAAATCTAGATTTATCTATCTGAATATTGGCCTGTAAACATTCGTTATACATATAGTGCCATAGCTGACTGTCTTCAGAATATAAAGAAACATCTTTAAATTCTAACTTGCTTTCATTAACTAAGTCATCAATAAATTCCATAATTGTTACTCACCGTAATCAGAAGATTTTCTCGTTTGACCCGGCTCAATCACTGGAATTCTCGTCCACGTCTGTTTAATCGCCTGTTCTGCTAGGTTATTTTCACCGTGTTTTCCCAAGACTTGACAATCACAGAATTGTGCGTAGTTTTCCCCCTTAAGGCATGGGGAAATCCGTAGAAAAAACGTTCGGCGGTGGCTGGCTCACCAAAATGTTGGATTTTTAGACACATATAATACTTCTTCTAGTGTCTTGAGGCGATTATGAATGAAAGAGCCATTGAAATAAAAAATGAAGTGTGATTTTATTCTATCACACAATGGTGTCAAATAACAATGTAAAGCGTATTATGAACAGTTCCATGTAGATAAAACTATTGTAAAAATGACAAGCGAAAGTTTAAAACAAAGAGTCACCATTATCTGTCATGGCTGTCCTTGCCATGTGCGATACTCCATGTCCTTGTCCGTCTCAATGACTTTGTGAAGAAGGAAAAGCCGGATGTGACTATATTGTAGCCGGAAGTGATCTCAGTATGCACCTGTTGCAGCTTCTCAGACGTGTGTATGCAAGAGTCATGTAGCTTGTAAGTGTGTGTGTGTGAGTGAGTGTCTCCTTGTCCGTTGTCTCATGGACTTTTAAGAGGCAAATGTACGTCATAGTTAGTGATCTTAATACCTTCTATGGAAATTATTACTGCTTAGCAAGCCATTTCATAAAAGGAAGGGGATGCTATACATATGATGTTTGATGGACAGGAACATATGAATGCTGATGTAAATAATATTATAAGCTAATGACGTAAAGAATAATATAGCTTAAGAACATATCAATGTATAATCCCTAAACTATATATGTATCAATGTTAGAGACGTATACTAAATGCACACAGATTATTATTAAAAATACATAATGTAATAGTAAGTCACTTCTAATAACCTTGACATAACTAACAAATACTTTTATGCCTAAATATAGTATACTCAACCTTCAACTAGTATATACTATTTCAGCTTAACTTGTATATCTTTTGGTCTCAGCTATAATTGAAGAATAGTAAATACTACCATTTGTCAAAGACCATTCACACATATTAATATTAATTATGACTAATCATAAAAACCAAATATTTTGCAAGCTTGCCATCAATATAAATGCAGAATCATAATTTAGATTTAACACATACATTGGCGGTCCGTGTCGAAGGGTTCCATACATTGGCGGTCCGTGTCGAAGGGTTCCATACATTGGCGGTCCGTGTCGAAGGGTTCCATACATTGGCGGTCCGTGTCGAAGGGTTCCATACATTGGTGGGCCGTGTCGAAGGGCTCCTTACATGGTGGTCATTGTCGAAGGGCTCCTTACATTGGTGGTCATTGTCGAAGGGCTTTTTACATTGGTGGTCATTGTCGAAGGGCTCCTTACTTTGGTGGGTGGTCATTGTCGAAGGGCTCCTTACATTGGTGGGTGGTCATTGTCGAAGGGCTCCTTACATTGGTGGGTGGTCATTGTCGAAGGGCTCCTTACATTGGTGGGTGGTCATTGTCGAAGGGCTCCTTACATTAGTGGGTGGTCATTGTCGAAGGGCTCCTTACATTGGTGGGTGGTCATTGTCGAAGGGCTCCTTACATTGGTGGGTGGTCATTGTCGAAGGGCTCCTTACATTGGTGGGTGGTCATTGTCGAAGGGCTCCTTACATTGGTGGGTGGTCATTGTCGAAGGGCTCCTTACATTGGTGGGTGGTCATTGTCGAAGGGCTCCTTACATTGGTGGGTGGTCATTGTCGAAGGGCTCCTTACATCGGTGGTCATTGTCGAAGGGCTCCTTACATCGGTGGTCATTGTCGAAGGGCTCCTTACATCGGTGGTCATTGTCGAAGGGCTCCTTACATCGGTGGTCATTGTCGAAGGGCTCCTTACATCGGTGGTCATTGTCGAAGGGCTCCTTACATCGGTGGTCATTGTCGAAGGGCTCCTTACATCGGTGGTCATTGTCGAAGGGCTCCTTACATCGGTGGTCATTGTCGAAGGGCTCCTTACATCGGTGGTCAGTGTTGAAGGGCTCCTTATATTGGTGGTCAGTGTTGAAGGGCTCCTTATATCGGTGGTCAGCGTCGAAGGGCTCTTTACATCGGTGGTCAACGTTGAAGGGCTCCTTATATCGGTGGTCAGCGTCGAAGGGCTCCTTACATCAGTGGTCAGCGTCAAAGAGCTCCTTACACCAGTGGACCATAAAGAGCCCCCTTTACCATGGTGGTCAGTGGTGTAGGATCCCCCTTTTTGTTGGTGGTAAATGGGGAAGGGCTCCCCCCCCCCAATTCATCAAGATCTGACCCCAAAGGTGTTCACTTGAGTTCCTCCACACCAAGCTGGCCAAACTATGTCCTTATGGGTTGGCTTTATCCTATTGGGGAAATTTCTGTTCTATTTCTGCCCTATGAGCTTTCTTTACTGTGGCAGAAAACCGACCAAAGTAAGGAAAGACTTGTCACACCAGAACATGCAACCCCATTGGAGGTTTGCACCACTATTCCTGTTACAGTGACTGTTGGGATTTCTGATTGCTTTCTGGCATGTTGACAGTGTTTACCAAGGCCATATGTGAGGGTGTATCTCAGCAGCAGGGGCACAGTAGGAAAAAAAAATACTTTACAGAGGTTCTAACTAGGGATGCACTGATACCCTTTCTATGATTGGCGAGTACAAGTACTGATACTTTCGGTCAAGTACTCGCTAAAACCGAGTACCGATACTTTGCGGTGCAATCTGCGTCAATACAAAATGTATGGAATCAAATTGATCCACAAACAATAGCATGGAAATTGAACAGGAAAGCAGTTCCTATCCAAATCACATGCACTTTCTCCACTGTTCCTGTGTGAACTCGGGCTTGTCATAATTTGAGTCCACACAGGAGCGGTGCGGAAAACTTTCCTGCACCAAACCCATGTCGTCAAAGAAGGAAAACCTGGGGATATGAAATCCCCATGGATATGGGCTAGATAGCTTTTGATTGATCAGCGCCGTCACGTCTGGCCCATATTGTCGTCCCTGCAAGGAGAGGAGAGATTTCAAAACCCCCATGTTTTCCTTTTGTGATGGCATGGGAGCAGTACAGGGAAGTATGACAAGCCTGTGTTCTCATAGGAGCAGTGGAGAAACTGCATGCAATTTGGACAGGAATCACATTCCGGTGTAATTTGTGTCTCTACATTTTGTATTGATGCAAATCGCTCTGAAATGTATCAGTTTCACATGAAAATACTCGGTATCAGCACCCATATCCATGCTTCCCTAGTTCTAACCCTTTGTTTCTCTATCTAAAACATCACAGTGTCAAAAATTGTTCTGTTTGCAGGGAGAATGAAGCGCTTTGGAAGGAGGTGTCATCACTCAGAAGGAAACACAGCCAGCAACAAAAACTTCTTACAAAGGTCAGCTGACGTGTATTGGTATTCGTTGTTTTTATTCTTGGATTGGGTGTACTATGATACAGAAAACCATTGGCCCTCATCTCTTGTTTTTTACTGATCTTTTAATGCTGAACTCTGGGATAAGGAAATATTGGGGCAGATTACTAAAGCTGAACACTCAGAATCTGGTTCAGCTGTGCATGGTGGCCAATCAGCTTCTAACTTCAGCTTGTTCAATTAAGCTTTGACACTTAGCCTGGGTTCTCATATGTGCGGTGCGGCATATCGCATGTGATTCACACAGGAACTGCACCGCATTCCTGTGCAAAACCACATGCTATTTGTGTGCGGTGCAATTGGAGCCATACATTTTGTATGGCTCTAATCGCACCGCATCCGCACCAAAAAATGTTCAGGACCCCTTTTTTTTTTTTTTGGGGCTGCACTAGAATCAGATCGCATGGGTATTCACACCTATGTGATCCTATTCTGCACATCGCACCGCATTTTGCGGACTGCTTTCGGGGTGTTGTTAACTTAACATACAAATCCGCAGTGGTTCGCATGAACGGGGTGCGATGTTGATGCGGTGCGGAATTCGCACTGAAAATGCTGCAATTTCCGCACCGCATCAGTGTGAACCAGGGCTAAAACCTGGAAGCTGAATGGTTTCCATGCACAGCTGCACCAGATTCTGCACTCCACTTTTCGTAAATAACCCTCATTGTTTTCCGTGACTCTTGGTGTGCTTTGTGTATTTTCAGATCTGTGCAGTCATCCAGTGTGACACTTCTTTCCTGTGATGAAGACCGCTCACTGCTACTCTCTCTCTTTGTGCAGAGTGATTGGTCCTGCCTCTGCCCCCTTTCTTTAGTTTTTTGCAGGCAGCCTGTATTGGGTGGGGTCTGCTGGGGTCCCTCCCACAGCTCTGCTCTCTGCACATGGTATGTGCAGCACAGTGATGATGTCACTGCTGCTTTTTACAATGTAATATACAGGGGTTGAACAAAAATATGGAAATGCTACATGATTTGCAGGTGTGGAAGTGATGAAATGTCATGTTGAAAGCAGAAGTGATGCAACATTGTTTTGCTTTCTGCTGTGTGATGGGACACCTAGCTGTCAGAATGAAAGCCTCACTTTCGTCGGTCACTGCGTGCACTGCTGGTAATATGGCGTCATGTCAGAGCTTACCGAGTTTCAAAGAGGGCAAATTGATGGTGCCGCTTACCTGTTGCCTCTGTGACTGAAGTTGGCGATATTTTTATTTTTTTTTTGCCGTGTCACGAGGTACAGTATCAAAGGTTATGACGGCATTACAGTTTTCTGGGAAACCGTTGGTCAACATGGTCAACTTACCAAAGTAATCAAAAGCACATTGTGCAGGATTGTGACCCGGAATAAGCAAACAACTGCTGCAAAAGTGACTGCAGAGCTCAATCTCAGTCTTCCAAAGCTCGTGTTCACAAAAACTGCGGATGGAACTCCATAAGCAAAACATTCACGGGCGCGCTGTAATTGCCAAACCACCAGTGACCGATATTAAAGGAGAAGTACAGTCAAAGCTCCTTTGGCTGTACTTTTCCTGTGGATCACAGGAGGGCAGTTCGTTCTGCACTCCTGTGAGTCGTTTTCAGCTGACAGCAGGCTGAAGCTCGCTGTTAGCTGACGTCACTCAACTGGTCCAGGCTGGGGAAAGGTCCCAACTTCAAAGTTGGGATCCACCCCAGAGTGATCTGCTGTGAGCCTGAGTTAGCCAATCCTTCCCCCTCTTCAGCTTAGTGCTCTAGTGAGCGCTGGGAGTGCAGAGCAGACAGCAAACTCAGTGGTCATGTGATCGCTGAGTTCTCACACTTAGAGCCAGCGGAGGACAGATGCAGCATTGGACCGATGCTGCATCCACCTAGGTTAGTATGATTTGCCAAAAAAAACAAAGCCATACTTCTGATGTAATGCTTAGAAGAGGAGAGAGTGGTGCAACGCCCATAAATTGGGGGATTATTATTGATCAATGGAAGACTGTAATCTGTTCTGATGAATGGGGGTTCACACTGTTCCCAACCACCGGACATGTTTACGTGTGGCAAGCACTGTACCATGCTTACGACCAGAACTATCTAGTGCCAACAGTAAAGCATGGTGGTGGCGCAGTCATGAGCAGCTACATCTTGGTGTTCTGCAGGTGCCATCATCACCTTGAAAGATAGGCCATCTTGAATACCAAAGGCAGTCCAGCACCATATTAGGTAACGATTTTGTTCTTTTACCTAGCGTTTCCATAATTTTTTCCAACTCCTGTACTTTGTGATTATTAAAGCGGATCTTCTTCCATTCTAGCTCACCCCCCACCCCCGGCTTACCTGGTGGTCTGTTGTGCACATTTCAGATATTCACCCACCCAGAGGATCCAGCGTTGTCCTGCTGAGATCTCTTGTCTTCTGACTCTGCTCAGTCCTGCATCACCACTTGTGACGTAATGGAGAGTTCAGCCGGCTCTTCTGGGTTCAGCACCTCCCAAAAAAAACAATACTCCTTTCCTCCTTTCTGAATGAAGGGCTCTGTCTCCTGGGATGTGCATATCCCAGGAGGCACAACAAGCACTGTGCATGTCATTCACCTAAATGAGTAATGTGTATGGGGGGAGCGGGCCATACATTTTTATTTAAGAAAAAGAAAGAAAAAAAAAAAAAAGTGGCGGTATTCATGCAGCGGGGGGAGGAGGGGTGGATTGGAGGGAAGTTCCCTCAGTGGGTGAAGATCCGCTTTAACCCTTTTGCTGCCAGGTCCGTGTATGTTGTACGGACCTGACAGCGGAGGGGGGAGGTTTTGCATACAATGCAGTGGCTGCAGCCAGTCAGGTGTCTGCGCTACTGCCTGTTTGCTTCCACACACCCCTGGTAGCACTCCCCAACCCCCCATGTGCATGCCCCTGCCATGTAATCCAGGCTCCGTTTGTCCGTATGTGGACCAGGGGCCAATATGGCGGCTGAAGGGAAGAAAGGAGAGCAGTGGCACTCTCCTCCCCTTCTTGCTGTGACCTGGAAAGCGATCTGTATGCCGTCATTTCTGGGTCACCTGTCGCTAGAATAGCCGGGGAGAAATGTATTGCAATGAGATCTGCATTTAAATACATTCAGTGGATCCCAGAGGAGACATGATCTCATTAAAGAGAATCTGTCACCTAAAAATCAGCACATTGCAAAAAAATAAAGTTAAAGCCAAGTACATAAGACCCCTCCCTCTACCCCACATAAACGCATGTACGAATGTAAACGCACACGCCGAGGGCATCTATGAGTGAAACCGTTGATAGCGATACGCATTACATAAGTCTGCGTATGCTGGAGTGAGAGCAGTAATCCTAGCACCAGACCTCCTCCGTAATGCTAAACTAATGACCTATAGGGGGCTTTTGAAGTGTCACCTATAGAAAATATAGGGTACCGCAGTTTGTCACCATTTCATGGACGCACACAAATTTAGGGTTTGACATGTTTGGTATCTATTTACTCAGTGCAGCCTCAACTCTTATATTTTACCAAACGTTTGGGTAATTTATTGCATTTGTTTGCCCTAAAATTCACTTTAGTGTGTTTTGAAACTTTGCGTTTCTTAGACCTTTGCAGTAATAAATTGACTCTGCCTCTTAAAGGCCCTCTCCTGACTCACAGTCAAAGTGCTTCCCCACCTCTCTCTTACAACTCCAAACACCTGGTGCTTTCAGGATGGGGCATTGTATGAAATCCCTACCCGCTACTTCTTCAGCAATTCATATTTTTGTTTTGTTTTTTCTTTTAGATACTTCAGTTCATTTTGAGCCTAATGAGAGGAAACATTGTAGTGGCACCAAAAAGAAAAAGGTATTTATATACTACTGATTTCTACATTGTGCTAACATCATAAAGCCTGACGTGATAGAGGATTACACGGATTAAAGCCTGATCCTTGGTTCTGTGTTGAAGAACCGATCAGCAGTCTTTGGTTTGAGGATTTTTATAATGGTGAATAAATGAATGTGTCTCCTGTGCTGGTACAGAAAACCTCACATCGTTACCTTGCTTCGTAGGGAGGACCCTAGTTGGGAAGCCCTCTAATACAGCCTTTCTCGAAACTTTTTACCAAGGAGGAATTCATTAAATTATTTGGGAACCCCTGGTAAAAATCATTATGATGAGTAAGTTGTAGAAATAATAATAATTTTCTGACTGTTATTTTTGACACCCAAAGCAGAAAATGTAATAGAAATCACCCCCTTTCCTTACAATAGAGTTATTTTCAGTAATTATGAACACCAGTGGCTAAGTAATTTTTTTTATTCCAGGTACTTATATAGCATTGTCAGTTTATGCAGTGCTTTACATATATATATTGTACATTCACATCAGTCCCTCACCCTCAAGAGGCGTACAATCTAAGGTCCCTAACTCACATTCATACATACACATACTAGGGACAATTTAGACAGGATCCAATTAGCCTACCAACATGTCTGAGTGTGGGAGGAAACCGGAGTACCCGGAGGAAACCCACGCAGGCACAGGGAGAACATGCAAACTCCAGGCAGGTGGTGTTGTGGTTGGGATTGTAGTGTCCCTTTACATTGGTGGTCTGTGGAGAAGAGCCCCCTTACATTGATAGACTGTAAAGGACCCCTTTACCTTGGTGGTCAGTGGAGATGTGTTTCTTACCTTAGTTGTCAATGGTGAAGGATCCCTTTACATTATTGGTAAATGATGAAGGGCCCTTCTCCCTTGACCACCAATGGGTCCATTTACAGTGGTGGTCAGTGGAGAAGGGCCCTTTTACATTGGTGGTTAGAAGAGAAGGACCACCTTACTTGGGTAGTCGAAGTGAGAAAGGAACTCTTTCACCCTGGTGGTCGAGTGGTGAAGGGCCCCCATCACCTTTGTGGTCGAGTGGTGTAGGGCCCCCGTCACCTTTGTGGTCGAGTGGTGAAGGGCCCCCATCACCTTTGTGATCGAGTGGCGGAGGACCTCCGTCTCCTTTTGTAGTCGAGCGGCGGAGGACCTCCGTCTCCTTTTGTAGTCGAGCGGCGGAGGACCCCCGTCACCTTTTGTAGTCGAGCGGCGGAGGACCCCCGTCACCTTTTTGTAGTCGAGCGGCGGAGGACCCCCGTCACCTTTTGTAGTCGAGCGGCGGAGGACCCCCGTCACTTTTTGTGGTCGAGCGGCGGAGGACCCCCATCACCTTTTGTGGTCGAGCGGCAGAGGACCCCCGTCACCTTTTGAGGCGGAGGGCCCCCGTCACCTTTTGAGGTGGAGGGCCCCCGTCACCTTTTGAGGTGGAGGGCCCCCGTCACCTATTGTGGTGGAGGGCTCCCGTCACCTTTTGTGGCGGAGGGCCCCCGTCACCTATTGTGGCGGAGGGCCCCCGTCACCTATTGTGGCGGAGGGCCCCCGTCACCTATTGTGGCGGAGGGCCCCCGTCACCTATTGTGGCGGAGGGCCCCCGTCACCTATTGTGGCGGAGGGGCAAAGGACCCCCACGTCACCTTTTGTGGCGGAGGGGCAAAGGACCCCCCCATCACCTTTTGTGGCGGAGGGGCAAAGGACCCCCGTCACCTTTTGTGGCGGAGGGGCAAAGGACCCCCGTCACCTTTTGTGGCGGAGGGGCAAAGGACCCCCCCGTCACCTTTTGTGGCGGAGGGGCAAAGGACCCCCGTCACCTTTTGTGGCGGAGGGGCAAAGGACCCCCACGTCACCTTTTGTGGCGGAGGGGCAAAGGACCCCCCCCGTCACCTTTTGTGGCGGAGGGGCAAAGGACCCCCCCCGTCACCTTTTGTGGCGGAGGGGCAAAGGACCCCCCCGTCACCTTGGTAATTAGTAAAAAGGCGACCCCTTACATTGGTCATCAGGAGTCTTTAGGGTCAGTTATTTGTCCCATGGCTCTCGCTTTGCCAAGAGGCATTGGTGTCAGAACAATGCAGGCTCCTTTAGGCTTGAGGTCAATCTGTCACTGATCAATGTCCTAGGGACCCCAGGAGACACCCTAAGGTTCCACAGAACCCTTGTTCAGAGAGATTGCTCTAAAAATCTTGTATTTACCAACATTTGTACACTAGACAACTTGTTCTCTATCTGTGCTGCAACAATAACCAATGACATTAAACTGGACCCACAATTATTATGTCATCTGTTTTGTTGATCGTAGATAATACATTGAAAACAATGCAATCCATGGTTGAAGTGCAGAAGGGTTCCCAACATCATCCTGAGTTTCAGTCTTTTATGTGCAAAAAAAATCAGAATGAATAATGAGTAGAAAAGTGATGGCCAAGTGCAGAAGGGTTCTCAAGTCAACTTGGTAATCAGTAAAGAGGCAACCCCCTTACTTTGATGATCAGTAGAGAAGGGACCCCTTACTTTAAAGGTCATAGGAGAAAGGAACCCCTTACATTGATGATCATTGGAGAAGGAACCCCTTTACATTGATGATCATTGGAGAAGGGACCCCTTTACATTGATGATCATTAGAGAAGGGACCCCTTACTTTGATGACCATTGGAGAAGGGGCCCCTTACTTTGATGATCATTTGAGAAGGGACCCCTTACATTGATGATCATTAGAGAAGGGGCCCCTTACATTGATGATCTTTAGAGAAGGGACCCCTTTACATTGATCATTGGAGAAGGGACCCCTTTACATTGATGATCATTGGAGAAGGGGCCCCTTGCTTTGATGATCATTGGAGAAGGGACCCCTTACTTTGATCATTAGAGAAGGGACCCCTCTACATTGATGATCATTGGAGAAGGGACCTCTTACATTGATGATCATTGGAGAAGGGACCCCTTTACATTGATCATTGGAAAAGGGACCCCTTTACATTGATCATTGGAGAGGGGACCCCTTTACATTGATAATTGGAGAAAGGACCCCTTTACATTGATTATTGGAGAAGGGACCCTCTTACATTGATCATTAGAGAAGGGACCCCTTTACATTGATGATCATTGGAGAGGGGACCCCTTACTTTGATAATCATTGGAGAAGAAGCCCCTAACATAGATGATCAGTAGAGAAGGCACCCCCTTACTTTGATCATTGGAGAAGGAACCCCTTTACATTGATAATATGAGAAGGGGCCCCTTTACATTGATGATCATTGGAGAAGGGACCCCTTTACCTTGATAATTGGAGAAGGGGCCCCTTTACATTGATGATCATTAGAGAAGGGGCCCCTTTACATTGATGATCATTGAAGAAGGGGGACCCCTTACTTTGATAATCATTGGAGAAGGGACCCCTTACATTGATCATTGGAGAAGGAGCCCCTTTACATTGATGATCATTGGAGAAGGGACCCCTTTACATTGATGATCATTGGAGAAGGGACCCCTTACTTTGATGATCGTTAGAGAAGGAGCCCCTAACATTGATGATCAGTAGAGAAGGGAACCCTTACATTGATGGTCATTGGAGAAGGGACTCCTTTACATTGATCATCAATGGAGAAGGGGCCCCTTTACATTGATGATCATTGGAGAAGGGACCCCTTACATTGATGATCATTGGAGAAGGGACCCCTTACATTGACAGACTCCTACCCCGCTCACTTTTCTGTACTCTATGCATCATTTTGTTATTTTGTTATTATTTTCAGACAGCTGACGCTGGAGTCCACGTCTGCTCCTCCTCCGAAGTGCAGTCGGAATGTTTTGCAGTTTCCTGAGGGTGTGGAGGAAGAGGTGAGAAATTTGCAATGATCATAATAAGAAAAGTGCTAAGCAAATATCGTCCTTATATCGTATTTCCCTGTTTTTATAGAACTCCATTTAATCAAATACGTAGATGTTTAGAACTTTCAGATGTAACTTGTGAGTAATTTTGTCTTGTTTTTAAAACTGAGAAGGCTGATATTAGATAATGATGTGCAAATATGGAAGACTGGATCAGTGTTTCCTCTACTAGGGTGCCGTGAGCACAGGACCCAGTTTGCCCCGGTTCAGGGTGGTGAGCTGCCTTGGTGTGGGCTGACTAACAGCAGCATGGGAGAGTTTTAAAGTGGTTCTAAAGGCTGAAGGTTTTTTTTTTTTTTTGTTACTTTAAAGCAGAGTTCCACCTGAAAAAAAAAAAAATAAAAGTCAGCAGCTACAAAAACTGTAGCTGCTGACTTTTAAAATACAGCCACTTACCTGTCCCTCGGTCCCGAGTTGTCCTCACCACCATTGGTTTCACCGGCCGTCTTCTCTCCCTGACGCCGGCACCCAGCTGTGACAGCTTGCGGCTTCACAGCCGGGTGCCTACTGTGCATGCGCGAGAAGCGCTGCTCTTTGTGAATGGCCCCGTAGTCTTCTGGGACCTGTCACGTATACCAAAAGACTATGGGGAGGTAGGGGGGGGGGGGGGGGGGGGGGGTTAGACAACTTCCGTTTCCGATCACCTAGTCGATCGCAGCGGAAGTGGGAGCGGGTACCTGTCAAATTCGGCTACCCCCTCCCCAAAGGTGCCAATCCTTTAATGGAGCTCTGCTTTAAATCAATTATAGGCAAAACTTTTTTTTTCATTTTGGATAGAGTAAGGGAGGGTTATAACCCATCGGAATTTTTATTTGCCCCCTGTGCCGCATTGCAGAGGTTTCCCTTAACTTCCTGTCCCATAGCCAAAACAGGAAGTGAGAGGAAATCCCCGCAAATTAAGGCAATTCACTGGGGACCCTGAGGTCACCAGAACTAGTGTCCCTGTCCCTGTTGGAAGATTCGCCCTCTGTTACTTTTCTGGGGATGACGCAAAAATCTGAGATTTTCTTTACTTACACTTTCAATAATAATGGTAAACAGGACAAATAGAGAGGACGAATCTCCCTAACGGGAACACAGACAGCAATAAAAACTGACGAGCTCTAATCCCTGTCCACTATCCAAAACTAAATATAAAAGTTTTTGCCTTTTAATTATTCTTTAAAGTAAAAAATATTCTGAGTGCAGCCACCCTCTTATACTTACCTAAGCCCGACCTCGATCCAGTACGGTGCCCGAGAGCAGAGGCTTTCTCTGCTCTCTCTCCCCATGGGCTCAAAGATGGGAGCCATTGTCAATCACAGCCAGTAAAGAGGAAGCAGGGGACGGGTCCGAGCTGCGTTCTGTGTGTGAACCCGCACAAGTGCCCCATAGCAAGCGGTTTGCTATGGTGGGCAGTGGATGGAGGGAAGAAGCTAGGAGCATTGGCAGGGGTCCCAAGAAGAGGAGGATGGGGGCTGCTCTGTGCAAAACCCTTACACGGTGCAGGTAAGTATAGCATGTTTATTATTTAACCACCTCCTGTCCGGCCATTGTATGTAAACAGCCGGACGGTGGCAGTGCAGGGTCGGGTGGCCGTTTATAAACGGCCTCCCCACCCCTTGCTTGTGCGCGCTCCCCTGGGAGTGTGCAGCACCGCGATCCAGTGCCCGCTGTGTCCTCGGGACACAGTGGAACACCGATCGTCGTATGGGACCTCTGTGCGAGGTCCCGATCATGTGATCACTGATTGGCCAATCAGTGATCACATGCAGAGTAGTAAGCAAGATGTCACTTCCTGACATCATTGCTTACTACGTGTGAAATCTGTGAATGATCACCAAGGTCACGTGGTACAAGGCTATTCACAACAGCCTTGTACCATGTGACAAGCTGTGACCAATCACAGCTCACACAGTAGTTCTCAATGGCTGCAAGAATGCAGTCAGAGAGAAGGAGAAATTATTGCATTTACAGCCTTTATGGGTATAAAAGCAATCAGTGTAAAAAAAAAAAATTTAAAAAAAAATCATCATCACCCCCCACAAGTAGTACAGGTGACACTGTACTGCTAGGGTGACATTAAAAAAAAAAAAAAAAAAAAAACATAAATAATAATTAAAAAAAAAAAAATTAAAAATGTAAGAAAAAAAAGTTTAAAAATGAAAATTTTTGGTTATAAACTAATTTGGGGTTTTTTTTTTTTTTCTTTTTACTAAAGAGATAATGGAATACATTTTGGCCAAGATTTATGATGAAATATTTATTTGCAAAATTTTATAAGATTTTCAAAATTTTTGGACTTTTTCATTTACATAGCAAAAAAAAAATAAAAATCCCAGTGGTGAGTAAATATTACCAAAATAAAGCTTTATCTGTCTCAAAAAAATGCTAAAAAATTCATATGGGTACAGTGTTGCATGACCGTGCAATTGTCATTCAAAGTGTGATATCGCTGAAAGCTGAAAATTGGCATGGACAGGAAGGGGGTAAAAGTGTCCGGACTGGAAGTGGTTAACAAAGAAAAAATAAGGGTTTACAAGTGGTTGTAAAGGTGGAAGGTTTATGCCTTACTAAAGGATGCAGCAAGTAAGGGCTCATGTACACGAGCAGATGCTAAACTTGAGTTTAGGAGCTTTTGGAATTTTTTTTGCCAAAGCTCCTAAACTCCACTCCATAAAAGCCTATGTGTCCATGTACACTTAGGCTTTTAGCAGAGTATAGCAGCTGCCGCGCGTTTAGGTGAGGCTAAGGGCTCATGTACATGGGGCGTTTGGAAAACTCTTCTGAACAATGGAAACTGACTGCTGGAAAACGTAGGTTAAAAAACGTCAGTTTAGCCACGTTTGCGTTTAGAAGCGTTTTTAAAAGATAACCTCAGAAGACCATCCTAAATACTCAGAATGCACTGAAAAACAGTAACAAATTTACTATTTCAGACATTTTGAGAGAAAAAAGAAAGAGCAGAAGCAGAGAGAGCAGTATGTGTTGAGATTACCTGTCTTTTCTGGTTGTATTCACTATGGATCCCATCATGAGTATAATGCGGCACATTCTACCATTTTATCCTTCACGCAAAACCTGGAACTGACTGCGCTGGTGTACCGGGTCCATTTGAACACATGGAAAACGCTTTGCATGCATTTCTGATGATGAAAAAAGGCTCTGGACAGCATCTGGATATGGAACAGTTAAAAAAAACGCTTCTAAACACAAACACTTATAAATGCGGTTAACCGCATTTACAAGCGTTTGAAACGCTGGTAAAATCTGCTCCTGGACACAAGTTTGGTGCGTTCAAAAAAACAACTGTAAACTCAACTGCCTGTAAACAACTGTAGACGACGATGTGTACATGGACACATAGGAAAACATTTGGGAGAGTTCAGGGGCTGCTGAAAAAAACGCTGAACAGCTCCTGAATGTCAGTTTAGCAACTGCAGTGTACATGAGCCCTAAACGTCCCTCTCCTGAACGCAGAGGAATCGCATTCAGGGTAGGAACGTTTTGACCGCCGGCCACGGGAAGATGCAAAACGTGGGAAAATCGCATTTTCCCGCGGCCGATGGTCAGGGTAGGCTTGTGTAAATGTAGCTTAAGCCTTCTGCATGCAGCTTCCCCCTCAGCCCCCCTAAATACATGAGCCCAATCTCCATCCAGCGATGTGCACGAGGCTCTCGGCTCTCTCCCTCCTAATTGGCTCTGATACAGCAGCGGGAGGCTGCTGTCAGTCACAGCCAGTGATGAGGGAGCCGGGCCGGGCCCTACTTTCTGTGTCTTATGGACACAAAGCAGGGCTCTTGGGAGCAAGCATGCACGAGTGCCCCCATATCAAGAGGTTTTCTATTGTGGGCACTTGGCATGGGGGGAGGAGCCAGCAGGGGACCCGAGAAGAGGAGGATGGGGACTGCTCTGTGCAAAACCATTACACAGAGCAGGTAAGTATGACATGATTATTATTTTGAGAAAAAAAAAAAGGATTTCCAATCACTTTAAGCTGAATCTTTTAGTGAAATTCAGTTTAGTTTTGGGGTGTAGGGTTCTTTTATAGAGATTTCAAGGTGTCACTGGGTGATTTGTTCAGTTTGCTGGATCTCATTTTATTCTGGCAAACTAACGTGTTTCACCTGGGGGTTCAGAGTTTAACTGACGCTGTGACTAATTTGCCTATCTAAATATTTTTCTTTTAATTGAATGGCCTAATTTAAGAAAAAGAAAAAACCTGCAGTAGTCACTTGAAACCTAGTGCTGGCCTAAGAAGGGCACAGAAAATCTCAGCCAATAGTTGTCCTCTGAGGCAGCCATTGTCATCCAGGCCACTTCCTCTGAACTACCCGGTGGGTGCATCATCATGCTGGCCTGGACTCAAAGTGCTACTGGATTGAATGGGCATCGCGTGTCATTATGTGAGAACCATTCTGTGCATCCACCAACCACACCAAACAACTGGCAACTCCAACCTCCACCCCAGCAGCATTTACCTGCCGGGAGTGACCTAAAATACCTTGTAACTTCCAGGTATGTGTGAGCATACGCTCACCCCCCTCTCCCATGTGTCAGCACTAGATGCTTCTTGATTGGTCCAGCACTGTCACCTGGGATCAGGGAGGATGTCCGTAGTCCAGTGTAAGCTTTGACAAACCTGTTTGGAGCTTACTCAGCACTTTCCTAAAGCAGTATTAAACCTTAAACCAAAAATGTAATATATTGCAAATTACCATTTATTAGATTTGTGGCTGCATTAGTTTTCTTTTTTGCGCTTTTCCCTCTGTTTTCACCTGTTGATCTGGCCAGTAACACACCTCCTGTATTAGGACGCCCCCTCTCTGGATAAGGGAGCACAGGGGGAGCGCCTTTGGACAGCAGCATTGTCAGCCTTGGGGGAGGGGACTAGCAGATTTAGATACACTAACAAATTGAATCTGAACTCCAGCTAATGCTTTCTAAGCAGTTACTGCAAACATTTGTTTTCTTTTGGGATAAAAGTTTTACAGAAATAAATGCTGATCATTGTAAGAGCCCCTGTCGATGTTAAATGGTTTGTCTCATCCCTGTAACTGCAAGAGAGTTTGTTCTGTTGAAAGTGTGCAGTAACCTTTTACACAGTGACATAATACTGAAACAAATATAATGCATGTATTAACATTTTACTAATTTTCCCTTGTTTGTGTTTTGGGTTCCTTAGGTTCTCGTTTCTTCTCAACACTGTGGTAACTCTGCAGACAGTACTCTGCAAATCCATGAGATTTTCAGCCCCGGAGAAGGCACATCTGAACCCACCTCAAAAACTGTAGAGCAAACACAAGACTTCACAGCCCAACCAACAACAGACACCAAGGAGTATGTATTGGTTTATTTTCACTCAATTATCAGTTGTGGAATAAGGAGATATGGGCATTAAAGTGACCCAGTTGAAATTTCATCTGCCCTCATATCAGTCATATGTCACAGACATTAGAAACAACATGGGCCAAATTTTGTTCTTACATAGTTAGTCTGGCTGAAAAAAGACAAAAGTCCATCCAGTTCGACCAAAAAAAAAAATTTTATAATCCTCTACCCACAGTTGATCCAGAGGAAGGCAAAAAGCCCAGCAAAGCATGATCCAATTTGCTCCTGCAGGGAAAAATATTCCTTCCTGATCTCCCGAGAGGCAATCGGATATTCCCTGGATCAACTTTGTTAGTATCCAGTTATATTCTGTGTATCCAAGAAAGAATCCAGATCTTTTTTAAAGCAATCCACTGAGCTGGCCAGAACCAACTCTTGAGGGAGTCTGTTCCACATTTTCATAGCTCTTACTGTGAAGAAACCTTTCCGTGTTTGGAGATTAAATCTCTTTTCCTCCAGGCGTAAAGCGTGCCCCCTTGTCCTCTGTGATGACCTCAGGGTGAATAGCTCTACACCGAGTTCACTATATGGACCACTGATGTATTTATACATGGAGATCATATCCCCCCTTATGTATTATACATGGTGATCATATCCCCTCTTATGTATTATACATGGAGATCATATCCCCCCTTATGTATTATACATGGAGATCATATCCCCCTTATGTATTATACATGGTGATCATATCCCCCCTTATGTATTATACATGGTGATCATATCCCCCCTTATGTATTATACATGGAGATCATATCCCCCCTTATGTATTATACATGGAGATCATATCCCCCTTATGTATTATACATGGTGATCATATCCCCCTTATGTATTATAACATGGAGATCATATCCCCCCTTATGTATTATACATGGTGATCATATCCCCCCTTATGTATTATACATGGTGATCATATCCCCCCTTATGTATTATACATGGTGATCATATCCCCCCTTATGTATTATACATGGAGATCATATCCCCCCTTATGTATTATACATGGAGATCATATCCCCCTTATGTATTATACATGGTGAGATCATATCCCCCTTATGTATTATACATGGAGATCATATCCCCCCTTATGTATTATACATGGTGATCATATCCCCCCTTATGTATTATACATGGTGATCATATCCCCCCTTATGTATTATACATGGTGATCATATCCCCCCTTATGTATTATACATGGTGATCATATCCCCCCTTATGTATTATACATGGAGATCATATCCCCCCTTATGTATTATACATGGAGATCATATCCCCCTTATGTATTATACATGGAGATCATATCCCTCCTTATGTATTATGCATGATGATCATACCCCCCTTATGTATTATACATGGTGATCATATACCCCCCCTTATGTATTATACATGGTGATCATATCCCCCCCTTATGTATTATACATGGTGATCATATCTCCCCCCCCCCTTATGTATTATACATGGAGATCATATCCCCCCTTATGTATTATACATGGAGATCATATCTCCCGTTATGTATTATACATGGAGATCATATCCCCCCTTATGTATTATACATGGAGATAATATCCCCCCTTATGTATTATACATGGTGATCATATCCCCCCTTATGTATTATACATGGTGATCATATCCCCCCTTATGTATTATACATGGAGATCATATCCCCCCTTATGTATTATACATGGTGATCATATCCCCCCCTTATGTATTATACATGGTGATCATATCCCCCCCTTATGTATTATACATGGTGATCATATCCCCCCTTATGTATTATACATGGAGATCATATCCCCCCTTATGTATTCTACATGGTGATCATATCCCCCCTTATGTATTATACATGGAGATCATATCCCCCCTTATGTATTATACATGGAGATCATATCCCCCTTATGTATTATACATGGAGATCATATCCCCCCTTATGTATTATGCATGGTGATCATATCCCCCCTTATGTATTATGCATGGTGATCATATCCCCCCTTATGTATTATACATGGAGATCATATCCCCCCTTATGTATTATACATGGTGATCATATCCCCCATTATGTATTATACATGTTGATCATATCCCCCCTTATGTATTATACATGGAGATCATATCCCTCCTTATGTATTATGCATGGTGATCATACCCCCCTTATGTATTATACATGGTGATCATATACCCCCCCTTATGTATTATACATGGTGATCATATCCCCCCCTTATGTATTATACATGGTGATCATATCCCCCCCCCCCTTATGTATTATACATGGAGATCATATCCCCCCTTATGTATTATACATGGAGATCATATCTCCCCTTATGTATTATACATGGAGATCATATCCCCCCCTTATGTATTATACATGGAGATAATATCCCCCCTTATGTATTATACATGGTGATCATATCCCCCCTTATGTATTATACATGGTGATCATATCCCCCCTTATGTATTATACATGGTGATCATATCCCCCCTTATGTATTATACATGGAGATCATATCCCCCCTTATGTATTATACATGGTGATCATATCCCCCCCTTATGTATTATACATGGTGATCATATCCCCCCTTATGTATTATACATGGTGATCATATCCCCCCTTATGTATTATACATGGAGATCATATCCCCCCTTATGTATTCTACATGGTGATCATATCCCCCCTTATGTATTATACATGGAGATCATATCCCCCCTTATGTATTATACATGGAGATCATATCCCCCCTTATGTATTATACATGGAGATCATATCCCCCCTTATGTATTATACATGGTGATCATATCCCCCCTTATGTATTATACATGGTGATCATATCCCCCCCCTTATGTGATCATATCCCCCCTTATGTATTATACATGGTGATCATATCCCCCCCCTTATGTATTATACATGGTGATCATATCCCCCCCCTTATGTATTATACATGGTGATCATATCCCCCCCTTATGTATTATACATGGTGATCATATCCCCCCTTAGTCTTCTCTTCTCAGTTCATCTAACCTTTCCTCATAGCTGATCTCCTCCATGCCTCTTATCAGTTTGGTTGTCCTTCTCTGTACTTTCTCCAGTTCCCCAATGTTCTTTTTGTGAATTGGTGCCCAAAACTGAACTGCATATTCCAGATGAGGTGTTACTAATGATTTGTACCGGGGGAAATTATATCTCTCTCTCTGGAGTCTATACCTCTTTTAATACAAGAGAGGATTTTGCTCTCTTTAGAACCCGCAGCTTGGCATTGCATGCCATTATTAAGCTTGTGATCTACCAGAACCCCCAGATCCTTCTCCACCATTGATTCCCCCAGTTGTACCCCCCCCAGTATGTATGATGCATGCATATTCTTAGCCCCCAAGTGCAGAACCTTACATTTATCAACATTAAACCTCATTTGCCACATAGTTTCCCAATTAAACAGTGCATTGAGGTCGGCTTGTAAGTTGGAGACATCCTGTAAGGACGTTATTCCACTGCACAGCTTGGTGTCATCTGCTAAGACTGAAATGGGATCTATAATCTCAGACCCTATATTGTTTATAAACATATTAAAAAGTAAGGGTCCCAACACTGAACCTTGGGGTACACCACTGATGACCCCAGACCATTCAGAATATGAAACATTAACCACTACTCTCTGAATACAATCTTTTAGCCAGTTTCCTATCCATTTACATACAGATTTTTCAAAGCATGTAGACTTTACTTTACACATTAGCCGTGTGTGTGGGGAACTGTGTCAAATGCTTTAGCTAAATCCAAGTATACCACGTCCACCGCCCCCCCTCTGTCCAAGTATACCACGTCCACCGCCACCCCCTCTGTCCAAGTATACCACGTCCACCACCACCCCTCTGTCCAAGTATACCACATCCACCACCACCCCTCTGTCCAAGTATACCACGTCCACCGCCCCCCCCTCTGTCCAAGTATACCACGTCCACCGCCACCCCTCTGTCCAAGTATACCACGTCCACCGCCACCCCTCTGTCCAAGTATACCACGTCCACCGCCACCCCTCTGTCCAAGTATACCACGTCCACCGCCACCCCTCTGTCCAAGTATACCACGTCCACCGCCACCCCTCTGTCCAAGTATACCACGTCCACCGCCACCCCTCTGTCCAAGTATACCACGTCCACCGCCACCCCTCTGTCCAAGTATACCACGTCCACCGCCACCCCCCCTCTGTCCAAGTATACCACGTCCACAGCCACCCCTCTGTCCAAGTGTTCCACGTCCACAGCCACCACTCTGTCCAAGTATACCAAGTGCACCGCCACCCCTCTGTCCAAGGTTTTGCTCACCTCCTCATAAAAAGAAATCAGATTTGTTTGACAACATCTGTCTTTCATGAATCCATGCTGTCTGTTGCTTAAAATATTTTTTTCCACCAAGAACTCATCTATGTGGTCTTTTATTAAACTCTCCAGTATCTTTCCACCTATAGATGTTAAACTAACAGGTCTATAATTACTTGGTAAAGAGTTTGATCCTCTTTTAAATATTGGCACCACATTGGCCTTACGCCAATCCAGTGGTTCTACTAAACAGATATACATAAACATCAATTGTATACATAGTCCAAAACTGAAGGAACCTGGGTACAGGTAGAACCTTAGTCTGAACCTAATAGACTAAGGTCTTGTCGTTACATATAGCCCCAACAATACTTTCCCCACCAGTAACACACTCATATTTTATAGTGTCTGGACACCCATTGCTATGGCCAAATCCTTGCAAGAGCAGCGTGTTCAAATAACACAATGGCTGCCAGAGCGTGGATACCTTTTGGTTCGATGTTGTGACTTCTCTTATTTCCATTCATGCTGATCTCTAGTAAACAGTGCTGCATCGTATGACTGCTGCCCTGCCAGTTCACTTTGGAGACGGAATATGCTACCTGGTCAGTCGTGCCATCTGTAGGACATTTTGGTATTGGTGTTAC